TCCTCAGCTTAAGGAACGCTACATCTCATGCTCCAAAGCCTACCAACAAGCCTTGGGCGACGTCGGCAAGGCCTACAAGATCTTGGCCTCCGGTGACCATAATGGCCTCAACCTTGCCACTTCCGCCGTCACCACCGCCGTCGACGACTGTGACGCCGAATTCAAGCAGCCGCCGGCGGACACGTCGTCGCTCCCGAGAAACGGCAACACTCTTAAGGATCTCTGTAGCATTATCTCGGTTATGTCCCAACTTCTTCCTGGGCTTTGGAGATCTACTCAGTAACACGTATGTCCGATGCATGTGAAATTTGTATAGTTCTATTTTACTATATAGAAAATAAAGTTTAGTACAAGACAAGGATTAAGGATTTTGAAGGGCGGAGAATTTAAGAGGGAGAGAGGATGCAGAATTGAAGAGAGAGGGAGGGCGACTTGTATTTGAAAGAAAAAATTACTACCAAATTAATTATGAAAAGGGTTATTTATTTATCTTTTTTTCGGAGATTAAAGATGAACTTCATTAACTGATCTGAAAAACCACACTTTAACCATCTTCTTTATTTGGCTTCATTCAAAAGCCAAGTGGGGAACCTCATTATATTTTAGGAAATAGCCTCTGCAGCCAGCTTATGAACCAGAGGATTAGCCTCCTTGGAGTTTTTAAAAAAAGAAGGGTTTTTTAAAGTTAATTGAAAAAAACGGGTGAGTTTTGAAGTATTCGGATTTTTGGGGTTCTGCGTTTTTCAAAAAGACGTGTTTGACTACTTTTATAATGCATTCAGTGCCCCGGAGTCAGTTATACTGACGGAGTTATTAAGGATGCGTCCCTCACTTATACTGAATGCATCTCTTTACACAACAAAAACCCTTTAATCCAAAGCTATGACAATATTCCTATAAATTTATTGAGTGTAGTGCTGGGTTGAAATTGTGATCTAAAAAAATATCTTATTTTAGTAAGAAAACAAAGAAATCAAATCATTAAAAAATGTAAATGACAAATAACATTTTTTTTATTATATATACATATTGAAACCAGAACTATCTAGTTACAGCCGTAGCCGTTCCTTTTTTTAAGGCGAATGAAGTACACAAAATCCTATTAAAATAAACTACGCAAAATCCTATAAAATAAAACTATTGTTAAATTAATAAAATTGACACCTTAAATTATTATTGAAATAAATGAAAATAATAATAAATACATTACGTATATAAATATTAAATAAACGAAATCTGATAATAGAGATTTTTATTGGAAACACTGAAATCCCTATTTTTTTACCTTTAATTAAGTTTTAAGTTATCAAGGACTTGGAAATTCAAGTGGATTCCCTGCATCGACGGTTCGGGTAAAGGTTCCTTGCATCTGCCAATTGCAGTATTCCTTTCTTTCTTTTTTTTTTTTTTCAAATTTCATTTATTAAATATCTGATTTTTTTACCCCCTCTTCATTTTTCCATTCTTCTTCTAACTCTCTCATTCTTCCTCCCATTCTATCTTTATCATCACTCTCATTTTAATCCTATTTTTGTTTCCTTCCCTTCTTTCCTTCCATTTTTTGTTTCCTTTCTTACTTCCCTTCAATTTTATCTTCACCATCATCCTTTTAAGGTAATTGTTAATATTTTTATTGTTTATTTTTTTATTTTTTAGTTTTATTATTAATTTTCTTTTATTGTAGGAACCGTTCAAATTTAATAGACATAGCAAATTTGGAGCAAGATTTTGTCTACAACACAGGTAACTTTAATTACTTTATTATATATGTTTAAAATATTACATATGATTGTTGAGATATGGAAATATTTTTTAATATGAATTTTAATTGAGGCATATTTTTGCACATTTTTGTTTTAGTAATTGAATTTAAAAAATGCATGTGTATTTCATTGTTTTTTTTAACCAACGTGGATGATGAAATTGTTTTTTTTTCTTTTTTGGTTTGTGAGTTTTGATAAATGAAAAGGGAAAAAAGAAGTGAAAATTAAAAAATATATATAGTGAAACGTGCCACACGTTTTTATGAGTTTGTGAGTTTATTTACTTTTTAAAAACATTTATAAAATTTAAGCAAAATATTGAAAACTAAAAGATATAAAATCACATGATAGCCACCTACCTTGATCACAAGCAGTTGTCCCGTAAGATTAGTCGAGATAGGCAGAGTGAATTAGCACACACACTCAAAGATATAAAAAAAACTATAAAAATAATTATATATTTTTTTAAAAAAATGACTAAACTCTCTGTCCTAAGCTTTAAACATTTTGGAAAAATTTTGAGATGTTATAAAAAAAACTTAGTTAAGAAAAAAATTGGGTAATTTATTATAAGAGATTTTTGGAGAACATTATGTCGAAATCATTTCCAAACTATTTTGTTTATTTGATTTATATAATTCTTTAAAAAAATTATGTCTATATAATAGTGATGAGTAATTTAACACGCAAAAAAAAAGGTTAAAAAAAACATAAAAAAAAGGTGTACAACAAAAAATTGTATTTATTTCGTAGGGTTGTGGTGCAAACATTTTCTTCTTGAAAATTGGGATTGAAATGAACATGCTTTTCTTTGGTTTTAAAGAAAAAGGAAAAAGTATTTTACACATATTCATAGATTTTTACTTTGGAGCATGTATGTTTTAAAAAGACAAAAAAATAAAGTCATATTGTTTCAAAACTTTTTTTTATAGATTTTCTTTTGAAAGATATTATATATATTTGAAATATTATGTTTGGTTTTAAAGATTTTAGAAGTTTCAAAAATTTGTAAGTGAATCGGCTTGAATGCAGAGCTCTTCGATTTCACCTTCAATCAATAACAGTACGGTGAAAGTGGAGGTGCCGGGAAAGAGATATGCCTTCCAAAATTGAAAGTATTATTTCAGCACGAAGAGGCGAGTGAGCGATCTTTACTCTTGCAGTCATAATAGCTCCATCTTCATTATTCCTGCACACAACCCCTAGCCCCGATGTGTTGGTTCTCTAGCGACAAGCTGCAACAACATTTATTTTATACCTCTTTTCTTCCATAGGGTTAAATTGAAAGTGCAAAATTGGCATAAAATGTTTATAGCCGTTATGGATGATTTTCTACAATTCAGATTCCCTTTATTTAAGGAATTCAAATGGAAGATATCTTGATGTCCTTATGATTCAGATATCCTATATTCGAGATATACTGATTGCCTAAAGATTCTCCCCAGATTCAGATAGTCAGATTTCCTAAATATATAAGGGTTCGAATTCCACAATTCCTAGAGGGATCAGGATTCAACTCTTATAAATAGGGAAGTAGACCAAACCCTAAAGGTATGCACACAACACCCTAGACTTTATGCTTAACTTCTCCGATTCTGACTTAAGCATCGGAGCCTGTGTGGCGAGAGCCACACCGGTCTTTAGTGCTATTCTGTTTTGTAGGTCCGGCCTTTAGTGCTATTCTGTTTTGCAGGTCTTGTCGATCCCTTTATACTAGAAGATTGGTGCTAATTTGGCGGAATCCCAGAAGGCCAAATTTTTGCATCAACAATTGGCGCCGTCTGTGGGGACGACTAAGATCTAAAAGTCAAGACGATTGATGACGAATTGACCGAGAACTACTTAGATCCAAAGAGATCTCGGGAGAAACTAATTGACATTTATTCTGGAGGCAGACCACAACTTTCTAACTACGAATGCCATAAGACTCGGGGCTTCCCCTACCTGAGGTAGCTGAGACAAAAACAATTCAATAAGTTCTGAGACATGACCCAGAACGAACGAATCAACAAATCCCAGGACAGATCCTGGATGAGATAAATCGACTGATTCCAAAACAGACTCTAGGATAAACGAGTCAACAAATCCCACAAAAGAAAAAGCAACTGATTAACATACGGAATTTCTACTTCAGACGATGGTAAGTTTGTTGTGTAATTCTAGTTGTTTATGATTACGAGAGTTTAGGTTCAATTTTATGGTAACCGCATATTTAGTAGATCGCATATAATTTAGGACTGATGTTTTTGGTAACTACATGTTGATATTATGTTTCTAAAGATACTTACTCGTTTGTGATTTAAAAAAAAGTTTCTAGCATCTGAAATTTAATTAATTACTTATTACTTGAGCAATTATCTCATTATATATTATGAATAAGACTTTTGACATCTAAAATAGAATTACATCTTTACTACTTGAGCATTTATCTTTTACTCTAAATGAAAATCCCTCAAATGGGGGCATGAGTAAGTAAATCAACAGCTAGTCAAGGAACTTGAACAGGGACAAACCTAGAAGCAGGCCGATAAGCTAAAAGCCAATCAGTGAAACCAGGGAAAAGAATCCCAAGGTGCTGAAGAAGGCATGCGTACAGGCCTAACAAGGTTAAAACAGAAAACAGGCAGGCCTAACCAATCAATGAAATCCACGGGTAGAAAACCATATGGCAAAAGCCAAAATAGGTTAAAAACCCGAGGGTGTTGATTTAACTTGGGTAAAAAACTGGCAGAAGCCAAATATGTTAGAAATCTAAGGGTGTTGACTAAACTCAGGGTATAAAAGTCATTGGCAAAAGCCAAGTGGGTTAGAAACCCGAGAGTAAACCCTGACGTATAAAACATGGGCCAAAGCTAAATAGGTTAGAAACCCAAAGGAAGTATCACTGGCCCTGTTAAAAGTTAGATCTCAAGGCCAAAATCTAACGGTTAAAACTAACCGTATAGCAGTGACTAAGAGACTTGATTGCAGCCAACTACAACAAAAGAAAATGGGGGCTATGACAGCCCGCCTATTAAACGACAACCGACAACAACAAAAGGATATCGATTGGACTCGGGTATAAAACCATTGGCAAAAGCCAAGTAGGTTAGAAACCCAAGAGTAAATCAAGAGACTTGACTACAGTCAACTTCAACAAAAGAGAATAAAGGCTATGACAGCCAGCCCATAAAACGACAATTGACAACGACAAGTGCTCTCAGTATGAAGACAACAATCAACAACAACCAAAAAGAGGTTATTCCACAAAATAGTCAACCCATGAATGACAAAATACTCTTAAAGCAGAACTTTGACAATCTTCAACTTTGAGAGTGGGGACTATTGTTATGGATGATTTTCTACAATTCAGATTCCCTTTATTTAAGGAATTCAAATGGAAGATATCTTGATGGCCTTATGATTCAGATATCCTATATTCGAGATATATTGATTGCCTAAAGATTCTCCCCAGATTCAGATAGCCAGATTTCCTAAATATATCAGGATTCGAATTCCACAATCCCTAGAAGAATCAGGATTCAACTCTTATAAATAGGGAAGTAAACCAAACCCTAAAGATATGCACACAACACCCTACACTTTATGCTTAACTTCTCTGATTCTGACTTA